GCCGCCTCATCTACCTCAGCCATGCTGATCAGGATCAGGACCTGTCCCAATGACCCTGATTGTGCCTGACTTGCCTTCCGTTTCCATTATACTCCTTCCATTTCCACTATACTCTCTCTCACACATACATACATTCTTCTTCAGACATACATACATTCTATATATATATATATGTCTGTGAAATGAGAATGTATGTGTGTGAGAGTAGAAATGTATGCATGCGAATGGAGAATGCAAGTGTGTGAAAGCAAAAATATATGTATGTGAAAGCAAAAATATATGTATGTGAAAGGAGAATGTAAGTGTGTGAGAGTACCAGAATGAATTATGGCTTGTACGGCCCCTCATATGATAACTCATAATTTGTTGCATATATTGGATAAAGTTTAAAAAAAGAAGAAAAGAGAAGTTATCTGCCTCATACTTTCCTACACACAAGTTTGACATTTGAACATTAATTATATGAAATGCCAAAGCTAAACTGAATGCGTGTGTGTGTGTTGCAGAGGAACTGTCCATCAGCATTTCTGTATCTAACAGTCAAATCCAGGAAAATGTGGTGAGTGTTTACCGACAATATTTCACAACTACACGCTCTCTTTATTCACACTTCTGCATGTTCGGTCATGTCCACGGTCAAGTCACACCGCAAGAAATTTATGAAGAACTGAGAGAGGAAATAAAAAAAAATTGGGGTTATTAAGCATGCATTTAACTGTAGACTGAGAAGTTGTATTTGGATTGAATGTACTTGTGAATTATGTTTGATTTGAATATTTGTTTAGTGATTGAGTTAATCTTGCGTCTATATTTAAAAATATATATATATTATTTATTTATTTTATTTTTTTGCTCTGTCTTTAGGATATCAGCTCAATCTATCAGATCTTTGCTGATGAAGTGTTGGGTTCTGGACAGTTTGGCATCGTTTATGGAGGTACACTCTAAAAAATAATTCTAAACTATACTACCTTAAAATCACTTAAGTGATTCTTTGAGTTGGACATACCAAAATAAATGCTTACAAATCCAGCAGTTTGTTTTGTTTTAAATTTATATCTAGGTTAAATTTAGATTTAGATCAATTTAGATTATTTATATTTATTTCACAAAAACAATCTAGCATCTGATGTACAAATTATATTTTTAAGATGTACTTAATATTTTTGTGAAATTTGAATCCAAATATTTGAGAATGGAGAAATTATACTTAGAACTACAATTATTATTTATTTCATATCAGTATTTTTCATCTTTGACCACAGCTGAAGAAACTGAGAAAGTTGGACACAATGAACATTTGCACAACAGATTAAAATAAAATAAGATTACATTACTCTTAAATATTGGTTTTAAAATTGGCTTGCTCATATATTTGAGTTACCTTAACTCGTTGGTTCTACTCAATTTTGTTTGTCATGGTACAAAATGTAGTAATTCTGTAAGGTATATTTCATTATATTTATTACACAGCACAATGCAGTACTTGATTCTGATGGGTCATTTGTGGCATTTTATCAAATATTTAAGAGTACTAACAACTAAGCTGACCGTTATTACAGTTTCCTACATAGCTCTTCTAGTTTCACATATCTTGTGTATCATTCTTCTGTCACTGTAAATTATTTCATCTCAATATAACACTTACAGTATATTTGTGTGGCTGTGGAATGAGCTCCAGCCAGTTACAAGAGCTCTTGTGAAATTCATGTCCTGTCAGCTCTATTTGGGTTAATTTTGTAGAGTTGATATATCAACTACTTATACTATTTATAATATGCACACCAAATGCATTACAATAAATCTATAGTTTTATCACTTGAAACCAATAAACTTTTTGCTAAATATTTTACTGCATTTGAAATCATTTTTTAAAATTTCATCTGTTTTAAGGGAAACATAGAAAAACAGGCAGAGATGTGGCCATCAAAGTAATAGACAAGATGAGATTCCCCACCAAACAGGAGAGCCAGCTGAGAAATGAGGTTGCCATTTTACAGGTGATCAGTGTTTAGAGACTGTGGATGTGTGATACTAGTAGAAGAATGTTTATGACTTCCTTAATTCATAATTCTGGAGACGAGTGGTCCTCTTTAAAGGGTTAGTTCACCCAAAAATGAAAATTCTGTCATTAATTACTCACCCTCGTGTTGTTCCAAACCCGTAAGACCTTCGTTCATCTTCGGAACACAATTTAAGATATTTTTGATGAAATCTGAGGGCTCTCTGACCCTCCCATAGACAGCAAGGTAACTACCACGTTCAAGGTCCAGAAAAGTACCAAGATGATCGACAAAGTAATCCATGTGACATCAGTGGTTCAAC